CGCAGCCATATACTTTTCTGATGCTCAGTATCTTCTCAATTTTTAAAATGCAAGGTGAAAAAAAAAACAATCATAAAAAGAGGCGAATTCGAATTCCCGGGTATTTGTTCCGCAGGAAGACCACTGACTATTTTTTTTTTTTTGGCCAAGTGATAACAAAAAGAAGAAACCGGCACGGTATGGCACCCGTGCGAAATGAATGTGATATGGGTAAAACAGTTCACAATCGGACTATAACTGAGTGACTAACGTTTCTGCTGGCAATACTGTTATTGTTGTTTAACGCGCCAGCCGAACTGCGCAAATAGAAGTCATATGCGGCAAGATCAGGCACATGTGAGTTGTTAAGGCAGAGCTCGTGATCGCGCGTATCGCCCCAACCACCGTTCTCCTTCGAGGGCTTCATCGTTCGTGTCATACGTTCCACAACTTTCATTTTCTCAGGGAACAACGAATCGGCTACATTCTCGAACAATTCGCGAGCCTACAGTACACACTCAGAAACATCAATTTTTTAATTTACGCCATTAAATTTTTTAATTTTTAATTTTTTAAATTTTTTAATTTACGGCGCTGCATTCTCGTCCCTAAGTGCACACCCCAACACAGTTGACTGGGCCACCGTTTCTGAGAAGCCGACTGAGATGCTAACGATGGTGACGCACAACTTCCTAGGCACCTAAATATCCGTAAAAGATCCGTCATAGCGCTCCGGCTGATGTAGGCGATTGCTTTCCGGCTATTAAGCCGTTTGTAGCAACCAGGTTGATCCTGGAAGCCTAAATGGCGAAGGCGCGATAGATTACAGTATGAAAGAACAGTATGAGAGAAGGTAAGAGTGAGATAAGACGCTCCGGTCCGTTCAGTCATATAGACCTTGATAATATGCGTTTCTGCATTGCATAGATGCAAAAAATGCATAAGAAACATACCATTTGGGCAGCATTATAAACGGCACAACGATGTGTATGTACGCCGCAATCACCGACATGTAACACACGCGGCGCCTTAACCACAATCACTCGTAACCTTGTCGGCAAACATTTTGTGCTAACTTGCAACAACGACCAGTCCCAGTTGTAATCGTCGTACGTACAAAACATCTGTAACTGTGACCATTCTCAATAACAATCAGTACAAACTCCAAGCTTCTACACTTGTACAATTCAAATTCTCGTATACTGAGGTCCATCCACTCGGGAATTCAGGTCAGAATAGCAGTGATTTTTTTAAAAAAATTTTTAAAAACGCACTTTGGTGCAGTTTTTGATCAGTGCCCAAGTGCTGCTATTGATGGCCATGCCCATGTTGTGCTTTGAGCTGAACCACGGATGGATGCCCAGTCGATCCAAATTTTCCGCAAAATTGTTATACCGCTTCAGGTATAAGCCAAGACTAATTACTTGACATTCTGCGCAGTATCTAAATTTACATTATCTTCTAGTACCATACACACAGTGTTTTGATGTTTCAAACTACATAAACGGGGAGAGCCTCTTCAGCTGTGGGATTATCATCAAAATCGCCTGAACACTGTACGGGTTTTTCGATGCTCCTACAAAGCAACCAGTAAACGCCAAGCACAAACTCCAACACAGTTAATGTTTACATAGTATTAAATGATAAGTCACTTGCATAGGCGGACCCAAGGAGGGGGGAAGGGGGGAGGGAGGGATGAAGGGCCTTTCGCTCCCCCACCTTTCCCTCAGTAGCACAGGCAACAGTACTGTAAAAATCCGATCTAAAGCTAAAACTAAAGTAAACTAAAACCTAAAGTGACTCTAAATTAAAGTAACTCTAAGTAGCATTGTTACAATTCTATCCCTAGTTTTTGCATAGTTCCAAGATGGGAGGGGACTCTCCTTCCCATACCCCGTCGGTGCCCCCTCCCCCCACCTCCCGTCGCATCGCTCCCCTCCCCCGCCCCAGCAGTCCGTCCTGGGTACGTCTACAGTTATTTATTAATCTGGCCAGAATTATGAATGCAGCTAACTGCGAAATACTGTTATCTTTTTTTTCCACGACCTGCATTCCATAAGCTTTAGAACAAGGAAAAACTGCTCAGAAACTAAGGTCTCCCTAAACAGAGTCAAGTATGACACTGGCAAACAACGAACAAAAAAACACCACGTACTCTAGTTTATTATTAACAATTAAGCGCATCACATGCAGGAAGTCTGGAGAAACATAATGATCCTCCTCCAATAGTATCACCCAAGCTTTCGTTAATCCATACTGCTTCAGGACCCCATCAAATACGTAATTCATCTGCAACATCACTGTGGACGTACGCTTTTAAGCTTACGAAAATGATATTCGTGCGATGACTTTAATTACGGGTTACGAAATTTTATCCAACTGAGGCACAGGCACATTTCATCGCAGCTCCGTCAGATCTTGTTCAGCGCCATCTGTTATCTCTATACTTCATGGGAGCATAGGCGGATTCAGGAGGGAGGGCGGGGAAGGGGGGGCGAAGGGTCTTTTGTCAGCCCCCCCCCCCCCCC